AAACCACCCGCAATCCGTGAAACTCTTGCCGTGATTTAAACGAATGTGCGCCGCGCTAAGGCGAGAGCCACATTTTGTAAACCACCTGTCCTCCATCTGCGAAACTGTTGCCCATTTGTTGGCTTCAGAGACATCAGTGGTAAGGATGTCTCAGTCGAAACGCATGGCCCGCCTTCAAAACTGGCCTCGGGGTGCGACATGGAGAAGTTCTGTATAAGGAAAAGGAATGGAGGAGGACAATGTCTGTGTCCGCAGGCGAGCGATGCCGGCTGCCTCGCCGCGCGGCGCCGGGCGATGGCCCAAACTCTGGCTGCTCGCGGCGGCGGCCGTCGGCCCGGCGCTGCCGCGCGGCTCGGCCCTCTCCGTGGAGCTGGCGCCGGACGGGACGTGGCCGCAACGGGGCATCGACGTGGGCGCTGGCACGGGGCGGCGGCGAGACCGATCGAGGGCACCGGGCCTCAGAGGAGGAAAAGGTACCGATACCGCTACCGTTCCTCGTTTTCCCCTGCTTGGGAGGCCCTCGTCGCTACCGCTGGATTCGCTGCGAAATCCTGGTCAGCACGCACCCCGGGAGAGGTCCGTGGCGCAGCGGTATCGGTACTTGTTTGGTTTCCCCAGAGACTCCGAGGAGGGCGACAGCGACTGCGGCAGGGGCGGCGATGGCGGCGACAACAGACGTGTTCGCAGCGTGAAGAGAAGACGCCGCGGAAGAGCATTCGGCGCCGTGAACAGCTCGAGGCCTCCAGGCATGTGTCGTGGATTCCCAGAGGCTTTTTTTCAACCTCGGGATGCTATCCAGCAGCTACGCCTCGACGAAAGCGTTTCTGGGCAGCTCGAATCTCCCCGCACGGCCACTGGAGACCCGAGAGATAGCCTGAGAACCGAACCTCCTCGCGTCATGGCTGAAATATGAAGCCGCAGAAGGCCCAAGAGTGTTCGGCCACTGGGGGGGCCCTCGCTGGCCCCCGGGATCGCAAAACAACGTTTTGGGATTAGCTGCTCTGCTTCGAGCGGTCCCCGCCCGAGAACGCGAGGCGGGATCCCCAGGGAGCACCGGCACCCATTGGGGCCCGGCGGCCGCGTCAGGCAGTGAGGCCGAGTCGGGCAGTCGTCAGCAGTCGAAAAGGCACGAGGCGGGATCGCCACGGAGCGCCGCGCGCCCCCGGGGCCTGGCGGTCGCGCTATATGTGCGAGGTGTGCCAAGCAGGCGGGGAGTTCCCTTCTCCTGTTTTCACGGCCCCCACTGGTCGAGTGGGGGGAGAACGGCCCTAAGTATGGTTGAGTCGGGCGTGTCCCTCTACAGGAGGGGTACCCAAAAATAGTCAGAGAAAGTCTGGGGGCGATTTGTCTAGTACCTTTTTTCCGGGTATGCTCGGAGTAGCGATTTGTCTAGTACCTTTTTTCCGGGTATGCTCGGAGTATGTGTTGTTTTCCACCCAAAACCCCCTTGTTGGAGGACATTCCCGACCTTCCCCTATGGGGAGAGGGCCAGGACTCCCGGGGGCCCCGTGCTGAGAAGGTCGAGACGACGTCGAGGGTCCAGGGCGGCGGCGGCGACGGCGAGCGGCCTCGCTCACCGCCCGCCCCGCAGGGGCAGCCGCCCCTTGCGCTCGGGAGGCGCCACAGCCTGAAGCACACACACACGCACACACGCACACACACGCACGCACGCACGCACGCACGCACACACGCACACACGCACACACACACACACACACACACACACACGCACACACGCACACACGCACACACACATGCACACACACGCACGCACACACACACACATGCACACACATGCACACACATGCACACACGCACACCTACCCTAAAACTGGAATCACCTTATATCTCGGTGCCAATCTTGAGGGTCCCCTCGGTCTCTCGTGGCGCACCCCGATCAGATTGCCATCGCCACCTGGCTTGTCGATCTCAGGGGCAGGGATTGAGCTCGAGGCTGGCAGTTCCGGGAGTCGTTGGCGGCGCACGGGAGGGGTGCTCGCGAGGGGGAACGGCCTTCTGAGAGGGCAGCGGGGAGGGGGGCCTCTTGGAAGCCCTCCCGCTCTGGGCAGAGGCGAAGCTCCTCCTCCCCCTTCTCCTCCCCCTTCTCCTCCCCCTCCCCCCCCTCCTCATCCCCTTCCTCCTCCTCCTCCTCCTCCTCCTCCTCATCCTCCTCCTTCTCCTCCCCTTCCTCCTCGAGAAGTCGGAGGCCGGTTTTTGTTCAAACATCCATTAGTTATGGTTTTTCAAAGATTTGGGTTTCGCCTGACGGGTTCGGACCGTCTCTGGTGCAAGAGAGCCGGTGGTGGTTCGCCCCCGCCCCCCGTGCCGGGCCCCAGCAGATTATTTGGGTTTCCTCGGAGTGCCCGAGGGCTCCCCAGGGGTTCAGCAAGAAGAATGCACCCTGAACGAATGTTTTTTTTTTTGCAATCCTTCTTTTTGCAATCCTTCGTTTTTTTTGCAATCCTTCGTTTTTGCAATCCTTCGTGTTTTTTGTTTGCAATTTTTCGTTTTTTTTTGTTTGCAATCCTTCGATCTGGGTCGCGCCGCTGTCACGGGCGGGCCCAGACCCCCGAGACATCGCCAGTCCGTCGCAGCGTGGAGCCCTGGAGGCGCTGACCCCTTCCATTTTGGTCGCGCTTTTCGTCCCGAGCTACTGTTTGACGGCCCTGGGCGCCGGGCAGGGGGCCCCCAGAGGAGAAGACAATAAAAAAAGCGGTTCGCCGCCGCGATTTCGCGATCTCGTCACGGCGCCATGGGGTCCTGAGAACGGATGAGAGCTCGGCCGTCACGCGGCAGGGGGCGGCGACGGCGGCAGCGGCGACGGCGGAAGCGACGGCGAAGGCGATGACGATGATTCCCAGGTCTGTCCCGAGGTGCGCTCCAGACAGAATTTCGAGTGGAGTCCCGGCGTGGCCCAGGGGGAGGCCCGAAGCCCCAGCAGAGATCGGCTGCCGCTCCCGGACCCTCCGCCCCCGATTTGCGGTCCTCGGCCGATCCTCGGCCGCCTCCCTGTAGGAGGTGCCGCCACAGAGCGACGTGGATCAGTGGGGCGCGGAGCTGATCGGCGCGGGGGCCGGGCTGGCACATCGGCTCGGGCTGGACGCGCACCTCTCCTTCAAGGAGCCCCTCCGCCGTTCCCGCCGCTGGAGCCCGGAAGCCTCGGGTGCCGCGGCGGAGTCGCCCCACGCGGCGCGCGGTTGCTACCGGTTGCTGCCACGGCTCTCCCCTGTGAGGGCCCCGCGTGGGCCCCAGCGTTCGAAGAGCATTTACGGTTCGCACGACATGTTCTTGGAACATTTCTGGCTGTGACAGTCGTGGTGCAATGCAGCTGTTATTTGTTGGGGGAGCATTGTTCTTGCTTGTCGAACATTTTTCTGTTCTGAGAAAATGTTCGTGGTAGGCCCAAGTACAGGGGTGCTGGGACGGTAGTTAGTTCCTTGGTAAAGTTGGGGGCCCAGAGCTGCGAGGCAGCCGTGACGTCGGAGGTCGTGGTCGCCTCTCCTCGTGCCTCGACCTTGCCCCCCTCTCTTCCCGTCGGCGCGCGCGCCAGGAGGACAGGAAATGCCCAGGTCGAGCCCCCCCCACTCTGGATGGGGCAGCCCCCCCCCCCCCTCTTTCCAGAGCGAAGGGAACTGCCGCCCGTTCGAGATTTTCGCACGTTCGATGTCCGAGGCGTCTGGGGATATGTGGCGGGTTCGTGGGTGCTTTGCAGCCTCGGGGTGCTCCTTTCCAGCAGCTGCACATCGACGAGGGCGTTCCTGTGGTGCCCGAAACGCCCCGCACGGCCACCGGAGACCTGATCTACCGCCCGAAAGTCTAACCTCTTTGCGTCGAGAGCAAAAACCACACCGCGGGAGGCTTTTGACAGTTTTCGGCCGCCAGTTCGCCGGGGCCCCCGGCACGTCGAACGGCCTCGGACGAGGAACCAGACAACGGACAAGGAATCCAGACTTCTGGGGCCCCACGCCGCCGAACAGAAAAAAAACAACGTCTTCTCTTGTCGATCGCATGGATATTGTTAGGATGTTCCTCGCCACGGGTTTCCCTGAGGAACCAACCCTTCGGCATGCGAATTGGGACTCATGGTGCGACGAAGCTTTCGAAGGTTCTGGCAAAAGGGTTGTGGGGTACCTCAAAGGTGGTACGATCAAGGCTTCACTACCGGTCGAGAAGAGGAGCTGTGCACCAGACGACTTCCATCCACGTCACGGTTTTATTGTTCACCAGATGGAAGGCACTACATGGTGTACCTCCTGCTTCATCTCTCACAGCTGTTCAGTGTCCTCTCTCGTCAAGTCAGAGAGTTCATCCTTCTCCTGCCCAGGAAGGCAAAAGGACAGACCGGAGGCCAATCGGCCAATTCTTCGCCATTGCTCGTATGCAAGGACAGTGTCTCTGCAAAGACTAAAGAGCATGGGAAGGGCTGTGGGGTTCAGGAGCGCAGTTCTGCATGATCAAAGGGAGGAATGCGGAAGATACGGTATGGAGAGCAGCCGCCAGGGGGGAAGGACTAGTATCGGACATAATGTACGTTGTGGCCATGTTCCGGGACAGCAGACAGTTTTATGGAAATCTGGATCGCAAACTCGTATACCGAGCAGCCAAGGTTGCGCACTATCGTTTGCATGCCATCCGACTTGCTCGTCACATGTATGCTTCTGTTCACAGGATTGTTCCGAACGGGGCTGTAGGCCCCGCTATCTATCTTCGTAAGGGCATCGTAGCAGGGCCAAAGACGGCGACCACAGGCACACATCTATGTCATACCCATGCTGGGACCAGTCTCGGCCAATAACCATGATAATGCGGTAACCTCTATCCACATCGACAACATGTCCTAAGTTCCTGGCATGCCAACATGGAGGGATACGTTCAGATGGTATGACGTGTTGGCTCGAAGTTGAAGAGGGGCCCACTCGGCCTCAATCTGCCCCTGGCCATCGACAAGCTCGGTTTGACAGCCAGGTAGGGGCCTATGCCTGGGGGGGAAATTGCAGGAGCGCCTCTTCCCGCAGCACCGAACCTAGGCATCGACTTCAGTTCCAAGCGGCGTCCAGGGGCCAACGCCGCCTGAAAAACACTTTAGGCTAACACGTTTCTCCGGTCTTGCTGGCCGCGGAGGATCAAAGGCAAGAGGCCCACATCCAAAGTTCGTTTGTTTGCTCCAGGAGTTCGGCCGGCACCCACGCATGGAGGTGAAGTGCACGGCTAGGCACCCACCGAGATCGATGCGAGAATTGTACCGCCCCGGCAGCTTCGAGGGGCCAGGGCGGATATCCAGTCGCAGACCACAGAGATCCCTTATCCCATCAAACTGACGGGTAGTATTTAGGAGCGCTAGTGGACACATTAATAGCGAGCTATTGGTGGCAGATGCGAATTTGGGGCGCACGCAGATGGCCTTGACGCCAAAGAGCTCCGAGCCACGTTTTCTCAGTTCGACAGGCGCACTAGGAATCCAGCGACTCCTTGCTTGGAAGATCTACTGCGCCTCAAGCGGACAGACCCCTCCGGCCTCGCGGCGGAGCGGGCCAGCATTTCCAAAATCCAGCAATTGTGGTCCCGCGGGCAGGACCGAGCGTGCACGTCCTAGAAATGCAGCCAGCAACCTCCCCCCCCCTTGTGCCGCCAGGGCAGGGAGGGGGGCGGGCCGGGTTCAGATCCGACGCGGGCTCCGACATGCCCAGGAAGGAAAAACCCTGAAGAATCTTCAAGCCTTAGGCACTGCATTTGCGGCTCCCTCATTTTCAGGCGAGGTTCTCTCAGGATGGAAGCTGACAACATGTCCCTGCCGCATGGCTCTCGACACCCACTGTCCACGGGCCATGGAAACCATCTTCGGGAAGTCTGTCAGGGGGGTCTTGGGAGAAGACGTTGCTGCGGCGGCCTGGACCTCTTGTCACTTATACCCCCGCTTTGGCCGCCGCAGAGCTGGAGCTGGCGCTGGAAGGATGGGGAACTCAGCATCTTGATGCCGCTAGGGCCCGCGAGCCATGTCAGTTTGAGCCAAACTCAGATAGCCTCACGGACGGTTCTCGCGTAGACCCCGAAGTGCAATGCCGGGCCAGGGCAGGGGCGGCAGCAGCGGAGCTCACCGACGATGGCACCCTTAAGCGCGCCGCGCCCAGTGCACCCCCCCTCCCCCCCTCCTCCTGCTTGGAGCAGGTATCCGTGAAGGCCCAGCACGGAGGGCCATTGGCGGCCGCTCCGCATTCAGCAAAAGCATCCAGTCACAAGTGCATGGTGGATTGCCGCAAGAATCAGCACACCCATCGAAACTCCCATCGGCTCCTTGCGCAAGAGTCTGGCGACATGCATCTCCAGCGCTACCTCGATTGGTCTAGACCAGCGAAGACCAGGGGCCATGCTAGGTAGGTCGATGCGATCGACGAGCAGGACGGGGGGGGCACCCGAGGGAACAGGGCAGCTCGCCACGTTGCAGGAGGACGAGCAGCCATCCATCGCACTCACCCCGGCAAAGCAGCACATCACGCAGCTTCGCATGGTTTGTATCTGGATTGCTTGGCAGGGAAGGCAAGGTCCTTGGCGCCTGGCACATGTCGGGCGACCCATGGGGAGAATTGGAGAAGTTGCCCCAGATGCAGCAGGCAATGGCGCTCAGACTCTTCGTCGACGACCACCGCCCAGGATGGGGTTGGCAGCGATCCAGACGCATCAGCTGTATGCGCATCGTTTGCCCAATTCGAGGTTCGGGCGCCAAGGTGTGGCCCCAGCCATGGAGAAGGTCATCAAGCAGCATGGGCGTCTCCATCAGCACCGCACGTAGGATGGGTGGATCATGGTTCCCCTGTCATCGTTTGCAGTCAGTGCGGAGGTGTCAGTGCGCATCGTGGATCTAGATAGCCCACTTACCCCGATGGTTGCGCGCGCCGGAGGAGTAGCGAGTTGAGGAAGTTGTGGATGGGGAAGTCTCCTAGGGGCCACTGTTAGGAACAGCGTGGATTCGCCGCGCGTAGCTCCTCAGGGGCAGCCGCGCGAAGTGGGGCGCAGGACAGTGGGGGGCGGGGCGGCAGGAGTGTCGTCCATGCTCCTCTCGATCCCAGGTTGAAGTGTCTGTCCAAGGGCTCCGCGCAGGGGCGCGGAGCTCTGGCGCAGGGTTGTCTAGGCGCAAGGGGCGCTCCTCAAGCCAGTTTTCAAACGTGGAACCTGCTCCTGTCTCTCCTCTCTTGCACGTCTACCTGGCCATTGTTATGTGGCCCAGCTCAGCCTTTCCCCTAGCAGCAGCCAGCATGGGGGATTGGCGCTCGCCATGCATCGTCCGCGGCAAGAAAAAGCGCAGCGGCTGGGTCGTCTTGTCTGGGTTTAGGGGCGTCGACCATTCTCGCGCGAGCAAAGCGGCGTCTGGTCTGATCCGCAGGGCTGCGCTGGGCGAGCTCAAGGCGCCGCGTCAGGGGAGGAAGGCGCCGGTCGCGCGGCCGCCGTCATGGGGGGGGCGGCGAGCGCGCCGGGCGGTGAGAGGGCGCGCCTCACCACCCCGAGATCTTCAGGCGCCCCAATCCCGCCCCCCCCTCTCGCCCCCCCCCGCCGCCAGCGCAGGAGAAGCGCTCGCAGGCATCGGGGGCCCAACGCCGCCGCCTCTCGGCGGAGGTCCGAGACCCAGGCGCCCTGCCTTGGCAGGGGGCCCGAAGAGCCGGCCCGCCCCTCCCACAGGGGCCGCCCCCTCCGCGCGGGCCTTTCCCGCGGCAGCGCGCCCGCCGCCGCCGGGCCGCCCTCCTCCGATCCCCAGCGCGCGGCGCTCTTGAGGGCCAGGCTGAGGCGCGAGTCCCGTCAGGCGGCGGCTCGCGCCCTCGAGGGGCGCGAGTGCCATTTCAGACGGAGGGCGGGGCGCGCCTGGACGGAGGCGCGTTGGGCTCGCGGCCATGTTGCGAGGAGGAGGGGGAGGAGGGCCAACGGGGGGGCCTTCCTCGTCCGGCTCGGACAATGAGCGAGCAGCATGTCGTGTGACTTGATCAGTTGATCTGGTATCAAGATCAGGTCAGCACGTGGAGGTCTCTTGCGTTGAAGCTCCAGCCCCTCTTTCCCTCTGCACCCCGTGCCACCTCCCTCAACTCCGAGGGCGCAGGACTGCCCGCTCTGAGACTTGGGTGGCGCAGCTGAGTGCGGTTTCGACGGTGCCTGCGTTCCTCTTCCGCTTGTCCTCCCTCCTCTCGGCTGTCTTTCTTCTCCGCGGGCGAAGCCTTTCCGTTCGCCCGTTTGGCCCCTTTCTGTTTTTTCGATCGGGTGTGTCTCATGCGTGCACCCGTGCGCCGGAGTGGGGAGGGCAGCAGGAGGAGGGGGAGCGGGGCGTGGGCAAAGAGGCGGACCAGGCGGGAGCAACGTTTCAGTAAACCTTTCCTCCAAGCTCCCTCCTCAGAAGTTTCTACAAGAATGTATGTCCATTATTGGAAGCGCCCCATTGGAAGGCAACCGTTGGGAATCATCAAGCATGCCGCGAATGAGCTTAACTGATGCGTTTGCCAATCTTCAATCCTGGCAGAGCACCACTGCTGGGACTTCGACAGAGCGGATCAACATGAATGCTTCGTCCTGCCAATCCTAAATCGTGTCAAGAAGCCGTCCCTAGGACTACAGCCACGCGAATCTTTTGAATGGTTGCAGGGTTTGATAACGAAGGCGCGCGGCGCCCACTTTTGAGACGAATGTGCGCCGCGCTCGGGCGCGAGACACATTTTGAAAACGGACCGCCCTCCAACGTTGAAGGATCACAAGTGGTGTGGAAGTCTTAAGCGAAACGCCCGGCCCGCCCCACCGACACGCCTGAGGGACCGCCAGGAAAGAGTTATTTTCAAGGAAGACGGGTGAACGAGAAGGAGGAAGAGGAGGAGGAGGAGGAGGAGGAGGAGGAGGAGGAGGAGCAGGAGGGAGAGGAGGAGGAGGACGAGGAGGAGGAGGAGGAGGAAGAGGAGGAGGAGGAGGAGGAGTAGGGGACGACGCCCACTCCTCCGAGGAAGTCGCCGCCATGGTGGGGAACTACAACCGCAGCCTCGCGGAGGCGGTGGCTTCCCGCGCGCCACCGTCCACTGAGCAACGCCTGCCGATGGTATACCTGCATGTGCACAAGAGCCTGGGGACGTGGATGTGCAAGATGGCCCGGGCGCAGAACGCAAGCAGGCCTGGCGACGCGGATTGCGCCACCCACGACGACTGGATATGGGCGAAGAAAAGTTGGGAATGGTACGACTTCGACAACACCTGCAGCCGTCGAGTCAAGGACGTCCCTCCTTTCTTCTCCTCATTCTCCTCTCACTCCTCCCTCTCCTCTTTTTTTGTCTAAGCGCCTCATCTTCACACCACGTTCGTCGTCATCCTCGTCCTCGTCCTTCTCTTCCTCCTCCTCCTTCTCCTCCTCCTCCTCCTCCTCCTCATCCTCATTCTCGTCGCTAGCCGTCCCCCCCCTCCCTCTTCATAGCCATTCCCACTCTCATGCGCCTTGTCGTCATCCTCCCTCCGTGTGGTCCACGTTCCCCCCTCGAGGAGATACAGGAGAACGGTTGGACGTTCCTGGAGATCGAGCGGTGGGTTGACTTCCAAGACGACAGCCTCCACGGCGACTGGTGCCCAGAGGACATGGGCGGGGGAAGGATGGAGCGAGGGGGAGGAGGAGTGGGGAAGAGGAGGAGGAGGAGGGAGTACAGTTAGCCAGGTCGAACAGAGTCAGCGGGTCGCGCCCATTCCCACCCTCCCCCCGTAACGCAACAATCAAGTGGGGCACAACGCGGCATTCGGATTTGAACGCGCTCCCACCTAGCGGCAGGAAATCGCTCGCGCTCGGTCGAAGAGAAACTACGCAGGCCGCGCAAGGGTGGGAACGGCAGCACTCCCGCGGAGCTCGGCGAAGGCGAAGCACGTCCCGCACCGAAGTAACACTGCTACCTTCACGCGCAAACTGCGCGGTGTAGTTCGCCCGCTCTCGCGCGCGGCCGCGCCGCCGCTGCCGCTTTCCAGCGATCCAGCGAGAGTGAAACATGATTGTCCAATT